TGTCTCTGGAAAAAAAAAGTCCATGGAGGAAGGGAGTTTGTAAAAGCAGCAAGTCAAAGTGACATTTTCCCGGATACCAAGCCCTTTGTTCTTTAATACTTCAGTGCCCATTCTCTACTTTGCCAATATATGTCTCCAGTTACAACTGGCCAACTTTGAGAACATCATTTACTGCCCTCCCCTCCCCTCCCTCACTGTTCTGGGCATTGTGCTCCTTCACTTGAATTCACCCCCAATGAAGCTGAATGCATCTCTCCTCCTCCCCTCTCTCCCACCCCCAACTTCTACCCAGAGAGGCTGACTTAGTTCTTCTGAATAATTTGAAATATTAATTCTCCTGGACTTTTCTCTTTCCCCACAAGATCCCCATCAAGCCAGTAAAAACAGTGAAATCAATTTTTGTATCTTAACGCAATCATTAGCTGATCATACAGATAAATATATGCAAAAGAACCAAAAAGGATTGTCTTTTTCATTTGAGGATAATCTCCAAAAGAAACTTTGTAAAAGGCAATGCTCTGGCTTCCCAGTCCTAGAAATGCCTTTCTATCACACCTAGAAAGTCATGGTTAGGTGAGATGCTTCTAAACTTAAGTTTGACTTCATTTCCTGTACCAGACATGATGCTTCTGATAAGAGTAACATGCAAGTGGTAATAACTTGAGTATATCTCATGCTGTCTGCATGGCTCTCAGCTAATTAACCAGATGTTCTGAGAGTCTTCATAAGAAGATTTTCATGAATCAGTAATTATTTTTAAATGGGTCACTTATAGGTCAAATAGTGGATTATAAAACTTCTTTAAAGTAAGAAAGAGCACCATTCGGGAAAAGCTTTGTAAAGAGTAACAGTCATCATTGATTCTGCCTTCCTTTTGCCACTTACCTTTATATAGCATCGTCCGGAAGTCTTTACCTTCCCAGTAGCTTATGTTTACTCTCGTGAAAACATTATATTTTTCTGGATAATGGATTTCAAACAGGACTCCTGTTTCAGGAGAAGGTTTATAATCATATATTGAAACACTGGTTACAGGTAGAGGTTCTATAGAAGGGAAGTAAATGGAGACAGGGGAAAGGAAGAGGAGAGAGAAAGGCCATTGTCAATACTTGAAGGTACCAAAGTACCAAGGATTACACCTGCCAGAACTTCCTCAGGTTTTTACTCTCTGTGAGCACTAAACTCCTTGGTACTCATGAGTTGAGTGTTCTTAACAGTAATTAGTAAAGTACATTTTATATGGTTCTTTCTGCTTTTCAAAGAACTTTCATATTTATTTTTCCAGTTGCCTTCTGTAACAATTCTGAGACACAGGAAGAGCAAATATTAATATGTCTATTTAACATATAAACATAATGATAATTCAGAGACTTTAAGATACTTGCCAAAGGTAATTTAACAAGTACGTGGCAGTCTATATCTCCAGATTCCTAATTTATTTTTCATTTCTTCATGCCAAGAAAATTTGATATTAATAACAGATCAGTAACAATAAATAAATTTTGGCTCTGACCAATGATAAATACTTATGCGATCATTTATTTCTTTATGTGAACTTAGTACTTATTTTTCTATATTAAGTATAAAATTTCGAACCATCCAATGTAGTAAAAATTATAGCTTGTGGTGTTTATCAAACCATTCTTTCTACAGAAGTTTAAAAAAACATTCATTTCTACTTTATTTGAGTTGTTAATTCATCACAAAATGTTAAAACTACTCATTTTTTAAAAACCACAATTGACGTATGTCTGCATCTCCTTCACATCCTATCTTCCTGCAAAATTCATGTAAATAACAGAACTCCCACACTTTTGAAGGAGCTATTGGGCAAATTTTACTTATATTAACTTTATTAAGAAAATATTTTAAATAATTTGGTTTGGAGTCAATTATTATATTATTGAACAAATAATTTTGGTTCAAAATTTTAGAATTGAGAGAATCCTTGGACTTCTATAGCCTAAATTAAAGCAATACCTCCAGTTTCAATTTTACATTTTTTTTTTTTTTTGAGACAGAGTCTCACTCTGTTGCCCGGGCTAGAGTGCCATGGTGTCAGCCTAGCTCACAGCAAC